GCGGAACGAGCGACAAAGAGGCACAATCGGCCTCCGCGTTCGGCAGCGTTCGACATCTGTCTCTCTCCTACTTGAGTGAGCGATGCGTCCGCGTGGACAGCTGCTATACAAAAATACATTTCCATTTCCCTCCTTCTCTATATCCATACAAAATATCTATCAAACAAATAAAATTAAAATTTTCTTTTGAAAAATGAAACCATTCCATCAGTATTTTCTTATGACGTTGTCACGTTCAACTATTGTAAGTAAACTGTCTTTACAGACAGCCGATTTTTTGTTACTAAAACATTCTTAAACTTACTCACAGATTATATAATTTGAATTTTAAATCCTTATGTTCGTATCTACCGTCAAAAATTCAACGCTGCGTCAAGCGAGTAACCCGGTTGTATACTGCAAGAACCAGGCAACCCTGTGGTTTTAAATTTAAAATTGAGATAATTATTTTTTTACAATATTATGAAAAGACCACTTCATACTTATTTGCAATAAAATGAGCAAATAAAAACAACAAATAGGAAAACTCAACGAAATCAATTAAGCTATTAATAAAAAATGAAATTGCTTAAAAAAATTAATTGATTGAGGGAAGACCAAAAACAACGCTCTGTATAAAATATAACATTACGTTTTCACTAAATAAAGTACCTAATCGAAATGAAATACATTAAAAATCCATAAATGATAAACACAGTGTAATTCACAATATAATAAATAAGATAACCTGTCGAATTAATAATTCAGCTTATCAATCTTGTGAAGGTCTAAATGACGACATACTAAGGTCAATATGTTCTTATAGCGACTGCTGTGAGTTGTACTCTGTAAATTATACTCTTAATTCATTACCATAACCAAATACCTATGTAAATGTCGATCCTTGACTTTAAAAGACACTACAAAATATCAGTAGTAATGGTTAATATAAATAAAATACGTAATAATGTACAGACACGGCCATAGAACAGAGTGACGGCAATTTTCTGTACTTTTTTTTTTTAATGAGTAATCAAAGTACCAAAATCAGACATGTACCTACGGATGTTATGGTATGGAAATTAGGAAACGGACTTGGCCATCACGTATTTTAATGAAAAACAATTAATAAAAAATGTAACAATCCCGTTCTTTAAAGGTCAACAAAATTCACCGATTACAGATGCGACAGAACCGTATTAATTATGGCTATTAAGCACGATAAGTTACAGTCGCCTTTTTTCTTTGACAAACCATAAACGTAACCTATAGTTAATCCCTTTCTAATCCCTATTATTAAGGAAATAGTAATATTTAAGAAAATATTGCTACTAAACAAAATTGACATGTAACAATTCGCTTCGCTCGCACTAATGTCCTAAATCATTGACGATCACATAAAACTATTTTTTTTATCCCTCGGAAACAGTGTTTATTTTCTAGATTAAAGGTACCTTGTGTCCTTTTCTGTATCCCTGACAATGTGTGTGAGATTTCATGAAAGGTTTAACCCGCGACTTTGCTCGCATTGATGTCCTAAATACGTGTCAAAAATCATCGACGATTACATAAAACTAATTTTTCCATACCTCGAAAAAAATGTTTATTTTCTGGATAACAGGTACCCTATGACCTTTTCTGTATCCCCGACAATATCCATATGAGATTTCATGATAGGTTTTACCCGCTGTTTCGCTCGCATTAATGTCCTAAATACGTGTCAAAAATGATCGACGACCACATAAAACTAATTTTTCCATACCTCGAAAACAATGTTTATTTTCTGGATAAAAGGTACCCTATGCCCTTTTCTGTATCCCCGACAATATCCAGACAATCTCGCTCTACTCTAATCAACGGCTAGGGCCAGCACTGCTAAAAAGAGTAGGAGAATAGAGGGCGTTTTGGAAGTTCGCCTCAAACATGAGCAAACTTTTCGATCTTTTTACTTTTCAGAATTCTTGTTTTACACTAGTTTTTTCTAAAAAATTTGAGTCTATTTTTCTTCAAGTGTGAACCTAAAAACCGAGTTCTCCAAGAGTACTATCATCTATTATCGGAAAAACTTGAAGATGAAGATCCAAGTAGTTCGGATATTTCTAGCGATGAAGAAGAAGAAGAAGAGACAGACAAGAAACATCCAGAGAAAGACGTAAAAAACACAAAAAATATAACAGAAAATAAATCGGATAGAGAAAAAGCTGGGACACACTGTACATATGGAAACGACGAAGATGCTGACAGCAGTACTACGTCCGAAGAGGACGATGTTTCCGAAACGTCTAGCGATTCTTCTGAAAGCGAAGATTTTGAATTGGAAGTATCGGAATGCTCTAATGTCACAATTCAAAAATTAAGGAACAAAGTTGTACCAGCAGGACCACCCCCTAAACTAAATCCAAAATGGTTACCACGTTAGACAGATAATGTTTGGACATCCTCCCAGCTCCTGTGTATATAACTGTATTTATAGAATGTTTTTTCAGTGACACGGAATAAATAAAGATTGAATCAATAAACTAACAATAATATGTTTGTATTTCCCAAATTAATTGTCCACTAATTAATCAAATTATCAATACTCAAACTCATGATAGAAGTTTAAAAGAATATGAAAATAGATTAAAGTAAAAATAGCATATTGACAATTTACTATGCAATAATTTAAGCAAACGCTTTAAGAAATCATGCTTCAAATTTATTTGGATTTTAATGTTTAAAAACGAAAAGCTTACTACATGTATGCTCCAAAAACTTTTTGACGTGACAACGTCTTATAATTCGATGGAGCCGGCTGCATGCACGAAAAAACATGACTCATGCGGCGTTACCTCGCTCTGAGGCGTTCCATTTAAGGCTTGAAGTGCAAGCGAGAGCGCGGAACGAGCGACAAAGAGGCACAATCGGCCT